CTCTGGGCCTTAGAGGCTGCCCTCACACAGCAGCCCAGCTCAGGTCACTGTTGTACTCAGAACCTTCCCAGAGCTCCTGCCTCCCTCCCCTCAAGTACACGCAAAGCCCTCACAGCAGCCCGGGCCCACCTCCCCATGCCCTGGCCCACCTCTACCTTCCCTTTTCTCTCTGACCTCTGACCACTGCTCAGCTCCATGTACACTCCCTGTAAGTTTGCTCCCCAGACACCTCAGGGCCTTCGCACTTGCTCTTCTTCTGTTCACCACACTTCTCTTCAATTTACCCAACTTGCTTCCTCACTTCCCTGGGCTTTTGCTCAGGTGACACCTCCTCAGACAGGCCTTTCCAGATCCCTGGATCCAAATGCCCGTACTCCATCCTGCCATTTTCAACTCTTCTCTCCGGCTTTATTTTCTCCCCAGCTCCTTCCAGCTCCCAGATGCAAAGCCTCTCAAGTTCCAAGCTGGTGTCCTCACTAGCCTAGAGGCTCGAGGAGGACAGCCTCTGTTTTGTACACTGCTGCATTTCCAGGCATGAAAGAGTGCCTGAGCCGTACAGTATGTATTTGTTCAATGGATGAATGCACTTCGCATTGCCCTATCTAAGGCCACCCAGGTCTCTGAAACAAACATACCACACACAACCTGCCCTGTTCGTTTCCACTCCTCCTAGACGGTGCCCCCCTCCTAAAGCCCCTCCCTGTCTTGAAGGTTTCAAAGCCAAACCCAGGAAAGGCCTGCACCACGAAGCCTCCTCTGCCAATCCCCAGTCCAACATCCTAAACTCAACCCGACTGCTTCTAGATTCTAAACTCTGAGAGCCGCAGCTCCCAGGTGGCCTGGGGGTGTCTCCAGCCCAACACTGTGCAGCCAGAGATCACAGATGGGAGGGAGGAAAGCGGGAGAAGCAAGTCCCTACCCTGAACAGCGGGGGCCAGGGACAGGATTAGCAGCAGCCTCCTAAACCCAGCTGGTTCCTGAAGTGAGGGGCTGGAAAATGTCACACTCGGCTCTGGTCCATCCCCCAACCATCCCTCGCTAGATGGACTCATTCCTGGAGAGCACGCCTTCTGACACCCCAGAGCCCTTGGGAAGAGGGGGCAGGGAACAAATAAAGGAAAGGGACAGCCTTTCTGCCCACCCTCCCCCATTCCATCCTCCTGCTGGGTGACAAGACATTTAATTACATATATTTGGTACTACTTGGGATTCCAAATGTCCTAATTGCCTCGTCCTCTCCCAGCAGAACCAGTTTCCATGGAAAAATCACAGCAAAGAGCCAAGGAGGAGGAGGGAGCCCCCAACCCACAGGCCCCTGCCAAAGGGGTGAAAAGAGACAAAGGTGATGGGAAGATCTGTACCGGGCATCCTTGCAAGGCAGGGAGCTGGCTGGGCAAGCCAGGCTTGCCAGGTATGGGTGGGCGGCCTGTCTGCTGGCAGAGGAGAGGAAAGAACAAAGCCGAGGTTTGGGAGCTTGCAACTGGCTCTGCCTAGCCATGCTGCATGACCTTAGAACCAGCCTTCTTTTCTGGGTCTCCAAGTTCTTCCCTACTCAACCCCGGGCTCTGCTGAATTAAGTAACCATGAGAACAGTGTTGAGGATGCTGGGACTATGCAAGATGCCCTCAAATTCCCTGAGTCGTGCCCCTTCTCCGCTGGCAGACCAATCCCCGTGAGGAACAGGGGCGTCCTGGATCCCTTCACTATGAGTCACTGATGTGCTAGAATTCTCAAGCCTAATTCCACATCATAAAATACCCAAGCTTTCACATTCGAAGATGAAACAGTGTCTGGCATTTAGTAGGCACTTAACAAATGCCAGCCCTGCTCACCACTATTCCACATGCTGAAGTCCCATGAGTTCATCCATCTACGGTTCTGAGAGGTACGTCACTTCCTGTCTCTGGGCTACAGACGTTATACATCAGCTGGGTATCAGGTACTGGAGGGCAGAAGAGAAACACAGGGCCAGGGTGGTCAAGTCTGCCATGCAGTATCACAACCAGGCTACTGTGGACCTAAGTGGAGGAAGAACCAGGGGTGTGGGAGGGGCAGGCAGGAGGGCCAGCCTGCACATCTGCAGGGTGAGTTCACTGACCAGGAGCCCCAGGAGCTGCCCTTGCTGTGTCCTCAGCCTTTATAGGCATTGCAGAGCTGCCTTCTCTCTCCTCCACATCTCTGACTCCTCCCCTTTCCTGGGACCACCCTGCAGGCTGCGCCCTTTCTCCAGAGCCAGCAACTAGGAAGTCTACCTTCCCACTGTGCAGAGGGAAAAGCTGAGGCCCACAGATGAGTGAGTCAGAGGCTGAGCTGAGCCTGGTATCCAAGTCTCCAGAAATAGGCCCACACCATCCAAGGGTGCTCTGGGCTCTGGGCTGGGTGAGATTCCCCACAACTTGAGTGTGAGCCCGGGGTTTCATCTGCCCCAAGGTTCTCCTGGGTGAACACTGGTTTCTGCCCCATAAAAAAAGTGTGGCAGCTCTTCTTTTTCCTTCTACAGCCCATACTACACCATTTCTACCCACAGGATGAGGAGTGTGACTGGAGTCCCAGGCCCCAGACAAGAGAACATTGTCTCCCCAAGGGGGGCCAGCAGGAGGGGGTGGCCAGCTGCTCTCCATCTTCTGGAGCCAGAAAGAAGGAAAAGGACAGCAGGAGGAAGTCAGGCTAGCAGATGGGAGAACTTTTAGGCTTTGTGAGGGGGTAGGGAATTGGGGGATGGTGAATGTCTTCTGGGACTGAGCCTACGTCAGTCCACCAGGTTACACAGAGGCCTGTGCCTGCACGTGGGCCAAATGTGGTCACCGAGAAGCAGCTAGGGCAGTGGTCCCTGACTGTAACTCTCATCTGCTCACAGGGGCAGAATGATCCTACACCCCACTCATCTATTAGAGCCTGCCACACCCAACATGGTGGTTCACGCCTATAATCCCAGAACTCACAAGGCTGAAGCAGGAAGATTTCTGTGAGTTCGAGGCCAGCTTGAGCTACATAAACAAGTTCAAAAATCAGCTTGCACTATACAATGGAGACCCTGTCTCAAAACACAACACAACACAACACTAAGCCTGCCAGGTAGGGGTCTTGCTCCCATTTTCCAGTTGTTGAAAGTGAAACAAAGAGCAGGGTATGACAAGTCCTAAGGCCTTACAGGACTCTGCAGCTGAGACTCCAACTCTGCTCTTCTAATTATAGACTCACCCAGTTCTCTCCCCTAAGAGATAGGAAGGGGCATCAAACCAAGACTGGACAAGTGAGAGGACTGGAGTGAGCAGGCAAAGGTGTGGCGGTCAGAGAAAGCCTCCATCTACAGCAGGGAGACCAGAATATGGCAGATCTGTCCCAACACATCCCCCTCTAGGTAGGGGGGAGTAGAAGGAGGAAGTGAACAGAAGTAGGCCAGGAGCCAGTCCCGTGAACACTCCCACCTCCTATGCAGGCTCAATGCCTCCTCCTAGAGGATCCTCATCCACTGGGACTGCCTAAGACTCCAGGTTCACCCCTGCCCTCTCCCTCAGCTGAGCTCAGGGCTCCCAGAGGAGATCAAAACATGGGAAAGGAAGCTGGGGAGGGGACTCCTGGCAGGAGCTGCCCATGCTCCCCCGCCATCTTCCAAAGACAGAACTGGCACTGGTGTGGGGCCACGTAAGCTCCTCTCAGAGGGATGAACATGCCCTAAATTCCCTTACTCCCCATTCTCAACCTGCAGACTCTGGCTTTAGCTTCCAAGATGAGAAGCAGAGCAGGACTAGAGCAAGACGGAGCTGAAGAGAGTGAAACAAAGAGAAAGGAAGTTCAGAGGGACCCTGAGAGCCAGCTTGAGAGCACAGCGCTGGGAATGGGAGTGACCAAATTAGTTCAAGGTTTAGGGTTTCCAGGCTTCTCAGTCAGGGACACGGTGGGAGGAGAGATGCAGTTAGAATAACCCCAGGTAATCCCGAGCTCAGCCCAGAACCCAAGGGTCTCAAACCTGATTTCCAAGCCAGGGAAAAGGCCATCTAGAATTAACTGGAACCTATCACCCAAAACCCAGGCACAGGTGAGGCCAGAAGATAGAAGTGAGGACCTCTGGGAAAGTTAGGCGCCAGGGCCAGGGTCCCTGTCCAGAACCATGGAGGCCACAGGACCCTGACTGGTGGCTGGAACCTCTCCCAACTTCTCTGAAGAGGCCTTGTTGATCTGCCTCTGCAGAAGCCCTGCTGCCTCCCCTTTCCCTAGCAGTCGCTATCTAGACGCTTCTCTAATTGAAGAAGCAGGCTCTGTCAGAATTCAGGCCCCAGAGTGCCCTAACTCAGACCCACAGACTTGCCCAACATCTATGCAGGAGCAGCTGGTTGGAAAGGCACCATCTTGTCCACATCCCTCCCAATCCTATCTCACAAAGGTCTAGATCACAAGAAAAGCCAGTGTCACAGTGGGAGGGGGATAGGGTTAGAACACCGAGAGCTCCCATACACATTGCTCCATAAAGGCCTTGGCTCTCTCAGCCCAGAAACACACTGACATTCTGACCTGCCACAGGAAACCGCTTCAAAAAGGGCAAACACATGCCTAAACTCCTACGGGGGGTCTGGCCAACAGTTGGGCAGCCAGGCTCAGAGAAAGACCTAAGTCTGTGCTGCGCACCATCACACTCAAACTTCAATGTGTTCACAACAAAGAACCACACGGGGATCTCACAAAGACAGCCCCTGAAAACACCCAAAAGATCCACTAAGAACCCTAAAGAACTCTTGTAATTATTACCAGAACACGTTGGAGCAGACAAGAACCTTTCACGTCAGCATCGACAGAAGCCTGAAGCCTCTTCAGGGTCTGAAGGTTACTGAAGCCCTGTATCATTAACACTCTTAGAACTGCCTGGATGCCTCAGGACCAGATAAACACCCCTGGACCTGCACACCTGGGCAGTGAGTACTTGCGTAACAGTTACTGCCAAAGTCGGTGATGAGGGCGTCCCTTCAGCCCCAACCAAAGGTCTCCCCCCAAAAAGGACTCACCACCTGTGGCTTGCGGCAACACTTGCTGGCAGGGGCAGGCTCATCTGGAGCCCGGAGGGCCTCAGGGGGCCTGGCCTCAGCAGTAGGTGGTGCAACAGGAGCCAAGCAGGGAAGGTCCACAGATGCAGGGGCAGGGACCTCACCCGAGTGGAGAGTCAGCATGTATTGCTTGGTGACATCTTCAAGTGATGGTGCCTGCAGTGTGGGATGGCCTTGGACAGGGAGGCCCGCAGGCTCTGGCACAGCCACTGGAGGGCCCACTGAGGTCCGGGGCTCAGGTACTACAATTGGCGTGAAGGTGGCAGGCACACTGGCATGGCGAACATGCTTGGAGGAGGGTCGGGCCTGAGATAGGTTACCAGTCTGGTCCTGATCTTTCTCTTCTTTCCGGAGCTCCTGGTGACTGCTCCGGGCTGGGCGCTTTTTGGAACCTCGCCGAATGAGCCGAGGAGACAAAACGTCTGCCAGCTTGGGATTAAGGTGGAAATCATGGTGAGCAGTGGAAGACTCAGGCAGGGCCTCGGGTAGCGCCCTCTCAGACTGTGCCCGGCTCTTGGTGGGACCAGGGTCCTCTGGCTCTGCCCGCTGCTCCACAAGGATAGGCTCACTGCTAGATGGAGGCAGTATGGGTTCAACTTCCCTAATGGGCTCCCCTCCGGGGCCTTCAAATCCAGGCCCAGCCAGCTCCCCACGGCGACTGGGATCACTCAGAGATTTCTTCTTGGGGGCTTTACCAGCAACTCTGTCTTCCCCCACACGCCCCAAAGCACCAGGCCCCTGCACAATGCTCTGAATGACCTCTTGATAGCCCTTGCTCTCTTCACTGCCTACAGACCAGTCACTGTGGCCACTGGTCAAGCCTTCATCCACAGCTGGAGTCAATGGAAGCCCTGCTTTGGTGCTCAGTGAACCCAGGAGGTTGCTGTCCACAGAGAACCCAGAGGGCTCCTCAGAGGTGGCAGCACGGTGACGTTGTGGAATTGGGTCACTCAGGGACCTGTAAGCCTCACTTGCCTCACCATTGCTGAGTTCAGTCCCACCAGGGCTTGAAGGTGGGGCTTTGCGTCTCCTCCGGAGAGCCCCTGGTGTGGCAGGGGTCTCAGCGGACACAAGAGTCCACCCACCCAGACTGTCCTCAGCCCCAGGGACATGGTGGTTCATCTGGGCTGAGGATGAAGAAACAGGTCTCCACACTCCTGTTGTGCCCAGGCTGGAAAAGGCTGCTCCAGGAGGCTCAGGGTCTGCCCCAATGCCCTCATCTGTCAGACTGGATTCAGGGCCTGACAGCTCCTCCTGGGACCGCTGCCCTCTGGTCATGTTCTCTGTCCAGTCTGGGCTTCTAGGGGGAACATCACTTCCATCATCCTGCTGGGCACCCATGCGTTGGATCTTCTCAAATACCTGACGAGCCTCCTGTACATACTGATCCTGGACCACAAGAGGCAGTGGATCTTCCTCAGCACCAAGGCCTGCTAGCAGGAGCTCAGAGGAGCTGGGCTTCAGGGCACTGCTGTGTGTTAGACGCCGCGCCACTGGCTTCTCAGAGCAGGTAAACGACTTTGCCCTCCTCAAGGTGGCCGTCAAGTCCTTGAGCGTAGGACGTGTGCCAGGTGATGCTGGGGCTTGGGAGGGCAAGGGCTCAAGTCGTTCTACTAGGCCACCTGTTGACCTTGAGTCCCTGCCATCTAGGAGGCTGCTTCCATGTCCCAAACTGGGCTTTCGGACTCTCAGTTCTGAAAGATCTGAACGCAGAAAACTGAGAAGTGTCAGAGTCTCTGAGGCGATATCTGGATTTGACAGGGACTTTCGCTGCCTACTCTTGTCCAGCTCTAAACCTCCATCCCTTAAGGCCCTGCTGATGCCCACAGGTCCCTTGGTTCGGGCTCGAGCCTGGGGCCGCAGAAGACCTTCCCCGGCTCCAAAGCTAGGGGAGCGGTACACTCCCCAGCTCCCAGAACCCCTGCTAGACCACAAGTCGTCATCCTTGAGGGTCTCGGTGCTGGAATAGCGGCTGCTACCGCGAGAGCCCCCAGGACTGGCCAGGTATGCGGGAAAGCTCACCTTGGCTACTCGGAAAGCTCCTCCCACAGTGTCGGACATAGGCCTCATGCCCTCCTGGGGAGCCATTACAGAGGGCTGCAAGCCAGTAGCCCACTCCCGCGGGCCCCCTTCGCTAAGGGCTTTTGGAGAGGTTGGAGGTTCAGGGCTCCTGATTCCCCCCGCTGAGTCCATGTTGCCCAAATTTAACCCATCACTGTCTATCCGGATGTCCTGATCCAAGAGCACGCTTCCAGGCCTGAGCCCCGGCCTCGCACTCCAGTGGCGACCACCCTCACCGTCTTGGTCCTCGTCACTGCCCGAGGAGCAGCCGCCGTGGTGGGTCGGACTCTGTGCCCCCGGCTGTGGCGGCGGGCCCTCCTCTTCCTCCTCGCTGGAGCTGGCAGCCCTGCTTCGGCTGACAGGATAGGAGGAGGCCACGGAGGAGGAGGAGCAGGAGGCCCGGGCCCCGGCCTGCGGTTGGGAGAAGCTATGCCAAGAATGTAAACCATCCGCTGGACGCTGCGCTCGCTCCAGTAGCTGCTGCCGCCGCCTTTCCTCGATCCCCGGACCGGGCACCGGCCGCTGCGCAGCACGCAGGCCTGCCAGCGGGAAGCACGTCCGAGGAGGAGGCGTCGGCGGCTGCCGGGGCTCCCGAGCCGGGGGCTCCCACGCGGCGCCGTCGGGGCTGGGCGTCCCCAAAGCCTCAGAGTCTGCGCTGGGCCTCCTGGACCCGGGGCCTCCGAAGAGCTTGCGCATCTCGGTGACGCTGGGCCAGGCCCCGCGCGCGGCGCCTTCGGCTGCTTCTTCCGCGGCCCCTGGAGAGACACCCCCGTCCCGGGCCCCAGCGGAATCGCTGTCCGTACGCGGCGCGTCGAAGCGCCGGGAGAGCTGGCGCACAGAGGGCGAGAGGCTGCGGAGCGGGCGCGGCTGCGCGGGGGCGGCCGGGGGCCCCGACGCCAGCTTGGACACGCGCCGGGAGGGCTGGCCCGGGACGGTCGCGGCTGGCCGGCACGAGGCGCGGCGTCGCAACCCCGGGGCGTCCGCGTCCTCCTCCTTCGGTCCGGGGCCGCCGCTCCAGCGCTCCAGCAGTTTGAACGAGACGCTGCGATAAAGCGGGGGCCGGGGCGACCCGTCCGCCATGGTGGCGGCGCTCACTCCGGGGGGGCCGGCCTCGGGCAGCCGCGGCCAACCCCCCCTTCCGTCCCCGCTCCGAAGGCGCTCAGTGGCCGTGGTCCCGAGGCCTAGGTCCTGCACCCGCTGGCCGCGGGGCTTTGGGAGGAGGACGAAGAGACAGAGATTTCTCTGTCGCGGATCAAGTTTCTGTGGCTGCAGGCGGCAGCAGCTCCATCCCGGGCCGCCCCTTCCGCCTCTGCGCGACCCTTGCCTCTGCGCAGGCAGCCGAGAGCATCGCAGCCCGGCCGGGGAGGGATCCCCGCGCTCCGGTCTTCTGCTCCGCGCCCGCCCTGCGGCGGCCGGCCGGCCTACACCCCACACTCCCGCTCCGACTCTCGTTCCCTCCCCCTAGGCTGTGCGCTCTGAGCTCCCTTTTGTTGGAAATAAACTTTGTGGCACAGGAAAGGGGGCGGGGGGCGGAGCCTTGCGCCCAAAAGAGGGGGTGGGCTCCGAGCGCGCGCGAGTCTGGGAACCCAGCGGGGGAAGGGAATCGGGGAGGAGCCGAAGGAGAAACGAGATGCTTGAACATTTGGAGCCAGAAGAGACCCTCCAGAGAAGTCCCGCGGGGTTATGAGTGGCCGCCCAGGACTCGCTGAGACACACGCGAGTTCGGAGCGTGTTCAGCGCTGCAGACACAGCCACCCTGCGGCTCAGCCACTTTCGCGCGGGAACACCTCCTGCGTCGGGGGCTCCAACATGGCAACCTCGGGCCACAGACTCGTACACATGACGGTCAGGTACACACAGAAACGCTCCTGGCAGGGAAAGGGGAGGGGGATCCCAAGCCTGGCGCAGCGGTGGGCGGGGCAAGTCGCCCCCGTCTCATCCCTTTACCTCTCTGAGGACACGCCCTTAGGCCCGCCCCCACGGCGAATCCTGCTGCACCACGCCCACGCCCCGCCCCGCGGGGGGGGTCCCAAACGAGCCACCCGTCCCACCTCCCCGAGGCCTGTATTGCCCTCTCACAGTCTCTCAACCCTCCCTCCTCTCTATAGAAGCCCCACCCCTCGGGGGGCCATGCCCTTCCCCTACTTTACTAGCTACCACGCCCCCACCAGCCCCACCTCCCAGATGATGCTCCGCCCTGTACCCCGCCTCCTTTCCCTGGCCCTGTAGGGTACGCGGCTCTTGCGCCCTCTGCCGGCTAATCTTCACAACCCAGGGATCCTAGAGACAGGTGAAGCAGGATCCACCCTCAGCGATCACAGTTAAGAGTTAGGAAGACTTTCAGTACAGGCGTTCGACGTTCTGTCGGTTCTCTGACCCCCCCACGCGACAAGGGAACGCTCTTGACTTCCCACTGCCAGACCTACACGCGAACCTATGGCTGCTCAGTCCTCCTTGAGGGGAGGAGTAGGACGCTTCTCCTACTTCACACTGATCTACCCTAGAGTTCCCCTCCAACTTTTATCCCAGTCTGGTGAGTCTGAGGTTATGCAGATACTGAGGCGCCGCCTTTCCCTTTCCCACACCTGCCTGTCAAGTCCTTTTCCTCATCCCGTGCCCAGTTTAAATGCTGGATCCTATATCTAAAGAATGAACATGTTATGGGGTACCTCTGATGTATAAGTAATTGTACTCCATTTATTTTATTTAATTTTACCGAGAAAGTAACTCTGACCAAAGCCAGGAAAACTGGGCAAGTTTCAGAGACTTCAAACACCATGCTCCTCCAGCCTTCCGTGGCCCCAGATCCTGATGAAGAAGGGGTCCTTTCTCCTCTGGGCCCCAGCAACCTCTTCCTCATCTGCACGGACATCCTGGCCTCGCCCTCCTCGGGCCTGAGCTCACCCTCTCTGGGAGCAGCCTGGACTACCTGTGCTCTCTCAGCTCTATTCAGGCTGGTCAGACCTGCCCTGGCCCTCCAGCCCTCACTCAGTGGCACAGCCTCAGGGAGATCCTGTAGGCTCTAGTCTGTGTTTTACCCAGCCCACCCCACTGCTGTGGTTGCACAGTATGCTTCCTTCTGTCTGCAGGAATTAATCCAGTGTGGGAACATGGTGCGTTAATCCATTGTCTTGATGTGCATTTGGCTGTTTGCAGGTGTTTCCAGAGTGTGGTGTGTGACTCTGGGCAGATGGGCTTAAGTGCTCTGGCACAGGGAAGGTCATTGTCCAACTTTAGAAGGCATCACCAAGCGCGGCTCAAATGTCTTTTGTTTTAGGATTGTGTGTGTTTACTTTTGTATGAAGTACTTGTTCCTGCCCATGCCTCCAGGGGGTGGTAGTAGTTTTGCTACCTTATAGTATTTTTGTTCTCGCCTTTCTATCCTCAGTACCCTGAGCAGGGGGAGGAATCCTAGTGGTTTGTTTTGTTTTTTCTGTATCACAGGTAAGGAAACAGGCTTAAACTTCCAGAATCTGATGCAGTGCACCGCCCTGAGGAAGCCCACCCTTGTAAGGTAAGAAACCTTTTATCTGAGGTGGGAAGCCTTCTCTGCCCCTTAAACTAAGTCAAGTGATATCCTTGCCACTGGCCCCAGTGTCTTTTGGCCACCAACCATTCCATAACTTGTTGTCCCCTAGTGAGTCCTTCCTTGCTGGCTGGCCCTCTTCATGTTCTTAATACTCCTTCCCAGCTGTACTTATCTAGGAATTTGTGTTTATTTCATTACTGTGGGTTTCCTCCATCCAGTTGGGCTTGCAGAGGGCAGGGACCCACTGCCCAGCCTGACCCCTTCTTCAGCAGGATCTGGGGCCACGGAAGGCTGGAGGGGCATGGTGTTTGAAGTCTCTGAAACTTGCCCAGTTTTCCTGGCTTTGACACTGGTCAGAGTTACTTTCTCGGTAGGATTAAATAAAATAAATGGAGTACAATTACTTATACTTGTACCCCACAACATGTTCAGTCACTCAGATATAGGGTCCAGCATTTAAACTGGGCACAAGATGAGGAAAAGGACTTGACAGGCAGGGGAGGGAAAGGGAAAGGTGATGCCTCATAGTAGGTCCTCAAACAATCGTTCATTAATGAATTCTTTCCTTGTCTGCACCCCGAAGCCCCTGGATTCTGAGTCTGGGAAGAGTGTGGATCTGACCTCAAGGCAAAGCACTCGGTGTGTTCACTAACAAGCTTGAGGGAAAAGGGCACCGACTGCATTGATGGCTGGGCTTTTCCTGCTCAGAGTGGAAATCTCCCCAAGATGAGATCTGGTTTCCGATCCTTTTTTTGCAAAACCAGGGATTGAACTCAGGCCCTTGTGCTTGAAGGAAGTGCTTATTCCACTGAGCCATCTCCCTGGCCCCCTGGCTTCCCAATCTTGACCCGACTCATCTGCCTCCCCATCCTCAAGCGCCAGGGTTCTTTAGCAGTTCCTTCCCTGAGCTAGTCTTCCATGCAAGCCTCCTTCTTCTTCACCCACTTCCTTCACATGCTCTCCTCCGGCCCTCCCTCACTCACCCAGTGTCACTGCCTCAGTATGCCACCACCCAGGCCACCACCTCTCTGGCTCCTGCTCCCTCCAGATCCCTACTGTCAAAGTTTCCAGGACTCTACCAAGACCCCCCTTTTCTCACTCTCTTCTCTGGGCTGCTGTCTGCCCCTCAGCCTCAGGCCACATCGGGGCCAACTTATCCCCAGGCTTTGCATCTTTTCTAAGCTGTCTTCCTGAATATCTCCTCTGTTGACTCTGATCTTCTGAAATGGTAAGCCTTCACCTCCAGCTTAGACCCTACCTCCCACCCCAGTCAGGGTCACTGCCAACTTCCACCTATATCCACTTGCTCAGGACAGGAGATAGGACCTCACTAAAGGGGTTAGTTTTGGTTATGAGTAGCAAAGGCCTGAAAAGCTGGTAGCTTCTTAAATTTTATTTATTTATTTTAATGTATTTGGTACACGATCTCACTATAAACCTCAGACTTGTAGTGATCCTCCTAATTTCATCCTCCCCAGCGCTGGGATTACAGGCATGCACCACCATACCTGGACTCAGTGGCTGGCTCAGCATGCCCAGGGGTGGGGACAGCGCAACATGTGGTGCCAGGGATCACACCCTGGTCCCTGCGCTTGCCTAAGCAGGCACTTAGTCCACTGAGCTATCGCACCAGCCCTGGTAGCTTTTTTAAAAAAAGATTTATTTATCTCTAGGGCAGAAGCCCAAACTAGAATGGTTAGAGATCCACACTAGTCCCAGATTATTGCTTTACCAGCCAAGAATAAGACCCTTGCCCAAATGGTCCAAGATAGTGCCCCAGCTGTTGCCTGCACTTTGTAAGAAACAGGGAGGCTTTGGGGTATGGGAAAAAAATACTGCCTATCTCAAAGACACTCCTCCCTCCCTATATTAAACTGCTTTAGGGCACTTTGCTGATAACCCATTGCCAGGAGGAAGTGGCCTGGAGTGCTTAGCTGCAAGAGGGCCTGGGAAATGAAGTTTTCATTCTAGGAGGCTTTGTGTCTGTGTCTGATACTGTGGCTGGCAGCCAGTGGCCTATGCCACACCTTCTTAAGAGGTCCCAGTTACCAGAACTTGGCAAGGAAGGTAGGGCCTGCGATGAAGAATCACAGGAGGGAAGGTGAGGTGGGGGCATTGAGTACCCAATTAGAGGAAGGCTGTATGACCTTAGCAAGTCATTTCCTACCCTATCAGTCATAGGAGATGTTGTAAGGGATAAAGTGAAAATGTATAAAAGCACTCTCTTTGGTCCCTGAAACGCACAGTGGCCTCTCTACTCATTTTCATGGTTGAAATGAATACTTCTGTTGACTGACCCCTGAACTGTTCATCCTCAAACTCAGGCTGTAACCCCTCTCCCCCTCCTCCAATACCCTCCAGCCTTTGCCTGTACCATCTCCTACACTGGAAACTCTCAGCCCCAACACATCCATCCTTCAAGGGCCACCTGCTCCAACCCCAGGAAGTCTTTCGCAGCCCCAAACGCTGGAGAGTCACCTTGGCCCCCTCTGAACCCACCCACTCCCTCTAATGCCTCACTAGACTATCTTTTCACTCTGGTGTCCCCTGTATGTCCCATCCCAGGGAGCAGAGCACTCCAGGGTAAGCTTTCAACCCCACCTATCACGGCTGTGTTCTGGGAAGAGGAAGTGGATCAAGGGAGGGAGAAAGAGGGACTTGAAGTCTCCACCAGTGTGTGAAGGCTTTGATACTGGCCTGTACTAATGATTTTTCTTCTTATTGGAACAGAAGGGGCTTACAAGTTATGGTCCTTATCCTCAAAAAAGTGTGATGAATTGTTTTCTTTACAGACCTCTGCCTGTCAGGTAAGAGGGCAAGAGAAAGGGTTGAAACACCTTGCTTAGAGCCCCCTGTTTAGACACCTCCGATGCCCATTCCATAGTTCCTGGAGCAATTTGCATTCCAAAAATAAAAACTAATTCTGGTGGTAACATTCACAGCATGCTTGCTATGTTCCAGACACTGTTCCAGGTACTGTTTTTCACATCTTAATTTAATCTTTGCACCAACTTTGTAAGATAGGCATCATCATTATTCCCATTGCTCAGCTGGGGAGACTGAGGAACAAAGAGGTTACCAAATAATGTTTCCATAGTAACACAGTTAGGGTAAAGCCAGGGTAAACACATAGGTAGACTGGCTGTAGAGTCTGTACCCTCTACACAACTCTCTCAGAGAGACGCTGGGAAAGCAATTTACCTGTGACCCACAGTTTCCACTGCAGGAAAGTAACCAAAGAGTCCCAGCTCTTAGTCAGGTGAGCCAGCTATCTGAGGCTCCCTACGGTCTTGGCTGGCTGCGGCCAGACGCCCCTGTCTGCTGCTTGTGATTCCCCTGCTGCCCCTGCCCCAGCCATGCAAGGTGGTAGCATCTGCCCTGAGTGGCTCGGCCTTGCCTCCAGCAGGGAATCTGCAGCGGCCTGGCTTCTGTTGCCTCCACACGCCTGCCTCACTGTGGCCCAAAGAATTCAAGTTTCTCCTGTCTGCACCACTGGACTGGCCAGCAGGGACACCGAGTGGATCCCAGTGGGAACTGGGCTTGATTTTCCCCTTCCTTCTCCAGCTGCAAACACACCCCCAACATGGACTCTCCAGAGCCCTTGTCTGGATGCCCCTGTTGCAGGCAGCACTGAGGCTTAGGAAAGACTAGAAGAGAAATCCTGAGAGCCTGTCACAGCCCCTCACTTGCCCTGTTCCTCTGCCCACTCTGTCTCCTGCCTTGGAAGACTCTTGGCCAGGTGAGCTCTCTTGCTTACTACAGGTCTGTGTGGGGTACTGCAGGCCGATTGTTCCACATAAGGACAATAGGAAGAGGGGATGGACTGAGGACTGTAGAAATAAGGGGGAGTGCGGTGGAGCTGGCTGGGCAGGAGGAAGAAAGAAGAACCACAGCAGAGAAGACAGGCCACAGAGCAGTGATTCCCCTTTGCCGCCTGCTCCAGGGATCTTGGGGTAAAGATGTATTTACCCAGCCTTGCACTGCTCAGATCTGGGTTTGAAATGCATCTCCGGGAGCTGGCCAAGGCCACCTTCTGCATACCAACAGGTTGGAATGAGGGACCTGAGAGGGCAGGCACTACCCCGAGACCTGGGCTTCCAGCCTTGGGAACTTCCTGGGCAGCGTCCTCATGGCCCTGTGACTCCTCAAGCTTCTTCTTTTAGAAGGAAGCAGGTTGGAGAGCTGTTTCCTCCTCTTGGGGGCCTGGTGGAGGTGCCCCAGGCCCCAAGAATCCTCCAGCTTGGAAGAGGCAGGTGAAGCCAAAGTGGCGGCTGGGCTCTTCCTAGCACTGCGTGCTCTGGCTCCACCCGGCGTCTTTTCCGGGCTTGCCTTGCACACACCCAGCCCCTGGGCCCATGCTGGTGTATTTCTCCCTCTGGTTCAGTCAGTGCCACTCCCTGGGAGCTGCTGCTTCTGCCAGGGGCTGTGGTTGCTCCCTTTACTGCGCACCATGCCTGTCACACCCGGACGGCTCTTGCCCTCATCAGGGGGCAGCTGTGGGACAGCTCTGGTTTCTATGGCTTTAACATACAGGAAGCCACATGCCTCCTCCCCAGTCCTCTCCTGTGTGCCCAGGGCAAAGCCCAGCAGAAGGCTGGCCCAGGCTGTACTGCAGCACTCTCCACCCCGACTGCTGAGCCCCTACTTGGCCTCTGACATTTGATTCAGGTAGCTCCTCCCCAGAGAGGCCTTTCCCGACCCTTTGACAGGGCCACGGGCCTCCTGTGGGCACTGATAGCGGTCACAGCCCTGTATCACTGTGTCCGTGTTTACCTGCAGCCGTCGGGAGCTTGAGTCGGGCACAGCTAGAACGGGTTTTCTAGGGCTTCAAAGCCATGCAGGCTTGAGTACAAGGCCTCAGTAAAGGCTTACTAAATAAGTGGAATGTCATGCTTTCCTGCCAGAGCGCCCACATTCATCCCTTAAAACCCAGCTTAAATGTCCCTTCCTAGAAGTTCTCCCTTCCCTTTCCTACTTTCTCTCCTACCTTTCATTGGTGGTTCCTAAGCATGTATTAGAGAACCAAGTACAAAGCCTCTATTGTACTATAGTCACGCTTCTGTGAGCAGTTCAACATGGCTGGCTTCTCTCTCTCTCTCTCTCTCTCTCTCTCTCTCTCTCTCTCTCTCTCTGCACTGGGAGCTGGATCTTGGACGTTCATACTGAGCTACATCCCCAGCCCATTTTATTTTATTTTAATTTATGTAGTTGGTACAGGGTCTCGCTATGCAGCTCAACTCACAGTGATCCTCCTGTCTTAGCCTCCTGAGTGCTGGGCCTACAGCCAGGGCCAGTGCAGCATGCAGTACTGAGGATCGAACCTGGGTCCCTGCGCTTGCCAGGCAGGCACTTAGACCGCTGAGCTATCTCCCGCCCTTCCAGTCCATTTTTTAATGTTTTAATTTTTTTAAGACTGGGTCTCAGTAGGTCACTGAGTTGCCCAGGCTGAGCTTGAACTTTCTACCCTCTTGCCTCAGCCTCCTGGAGTGCTGGAATTACAGGCTTGTGCCACCATGTCCCGCTTAACAAAGTTTCCTTTACTCTTGCTGGCTGATTGGGAGCTTCTGGAGGGCCAGACCCATAGGGCCTGGTCTTGAGAAAGGGGGTCAATAAATAGTTGATGGGACTTGGGACCACGAGGGGTTTTACTCTGTGCTGAGCTGAGCTGGATTTTAATTTTCGGCATGGTCTGGGGTTGGTGGGGTGCCCTGGTTATCATGGCGAACATGACAGCATCCAGGACCTGGGTCCTGCGCTGGTGGACTCAGTCACCCTGCCGCTGCCACTTGGCTGTGAGTTTCTGTATTAGCTCTTGCGGCCGCCGGCGGAACTTCCTCTGGGTGAAGTAGAAGAGGATGGGGTCCAGCACACTGTTGGCACTAGCGAAGGGCCGCGTGCCTTTGTAGGCTGCAGCAAAGGCTTCCAGCGTGGGGCAGGGGACACCTGACATGGAGCGCACTGCCAGGTAGGCTGTCTTGGTGACATGGAAAGGCAGGAAGCTGATAGCAAACACCGCTGCCACAACCACGGCCATGCGAGCTGCCTTGCCCCGCCGCTCCTGGGCCACGGGCCCTGTGGGTCCGTCCTGGCGGCACAGGCGGCGAGCCAGGCGACAGTAGCAGGCCAACAGGGCGGCACAGGGCAGCAGGAAGCCAATGACCGTGAGGGCCATACCGTAGGGCAGGTAGTGGGCAGCTAGGGCCGGTGGACTCAGGTCGTAGCAGACGGTGCGGTTCCGCTGGGTGCCCGTGGCAGCAAAGATAGCTGTGGGCAGACACTGTGCTGTCACCGCCAGCCACACCGCGCCACACACGAGCCAGGCAGCCCGGCGGCCCCCGCGCTTGTGCCAAGGCGCCAGGGGGTGGCAGATACCCAGGTAGCGTTGGAAGCTGATGCAGGTGAGGAAGAGGATGCTGCCGTGCAGGTTGGCGTAGAAGAGGAAGCGCACCAGGCGGCACGTGAGGTCCCCGAAGGGCCAGTGGTCGCGTTGGGCGTAGTTGTAGATGAGCAGAGGCAGGGAGCAGGCATACAGCAGGTCGGCCAGGGCCAAGTTCAGGGTGTACACGGCCGTGCGGGTCAGGGCCCGGCGGGATGTGCAGATTTGGGCAATGACGCAGAGGTTCAGCGGCAGGCCGGCCACCAGCACCGCCGAGTACACGGGCGGCAGCAGCAGACGCTTGAAGTCCTCGCGGTAGACACAGGCGGTGGGTGGCAAGCTCAAGCCCTCGCTTGTATTATTGTCCAGCTCCATGACTGCCCACCTGGGCCTCCTACATTAGGAGGGGCTGGGGAAACAATACACAGCCTGTCAGTGACGTACTCATGGGCCACCCTCCGCAGCCCTACTGCTATCTGGGCCCTCGTCCCCTATGAACAATTGGGGCGCCAATGCTGTCACTTTTTTTTTTTAACAATTTTTTTTTTTTTTACATTTTATTTAGAGTGTGTGTGTGTGTGTGTGTGTGTGGCCAGCTCAGCCCACCAGGGGGCGCGGCTGGCTGGCATGTGGTGCTGGGGGATCGAACAGCGGTCCCTGTGCTTTGCCAAGCTTGTTCTAAGTAGGTGCTTTAGACCACTGAGCCATCTCTCCAGCCCCAATGCTGTCATTTTTTATACTGACCACACCATGGAGGCCTCACACAGCTCTGATTTCAAGGAAACTTGGAATAATAAAGCTCAACTTTGGGACAGTCACATCTCTTTTGTTATATAGTATGCGTTTTCTATCAGCCTTCCTAATAAACTTCTATTCATCCTTCAAATCTCTGGTAAGATGTCTCATGTGTTCGTGAAAGTAGATGGACTTGGTTTGAATCTCATCTTCGTGACTCACTACTTGTATGACCTGGAGGTAGTATCTTCTCTGGGTCTCAGTTTCCCCATCTGAGAAATGGGAGAATGTAACTTCTGCCACTCAGAGATGTCATGAGATTAGAAGCACTGAAACGAACTAAGAAGGGCTTTTCCTGAGCTCTGGGTGGGGGATGGGAGATGGAATTTGTGGTCATGGTCGGTCTGTCTGTCTTTCACAGACTGAGGACCACCTGAGAAGAAGTGGAAGATTTGGAGCCTCTCTGTGTCCCACAGCCGGGTTCCGGGTCCAGAGCAGAGGGCTCCCTGGAAACTGCCCATATGAATGGTCCACACATCGTGAGCTCACAGAAGGCAGTTCCCACTTCTGCAGCCTGAACGCCACCTTCCAGAGCCATGGCTCTTTTTCTGGCTGCAGCCATGTTATTTGTAAAACAGGGCAAGGAGATGACTTGGGAGTTTCCCAAGACCTGTTTCCAGTTGACCAGAAACTGCCACAGAGGTCTAGCAGGGTCATGCTCTTCCACAGTGCCTCCTGGTGGCCAGACTGAAAATAGCTTCTCTGAGGGCAAACCACAGGGACAAAGCCTACAGCTCTCTGTTGTTGATTTGAAACTCTGCAGTTCAGGCTGTCCCTGAGCTCACTCTGTAGCCCAGGCTGGCCTCGGACTCGTGGTGATCCTCCTGCCCCAGCCTCCCAAGGCTGAGGTCACAGCCATGTACCAGATGCCAGGCCCTGCAGCTTTACAAGATGTTAACTCACAGGGACGGGCTGGACTGCCGGAGCTTTGTGAGTTAGAAGCAGTCAGGGCCAGAACCCAGCTGCCTGATCCCAAGAGGCAGCTTACGAGAGAGAGGACTTACAGGGCAGCTTCAGAATAAGGCAGCCTGGTCCAGTGTTGGGTGCCCCACTGCCATGCTGTGTAACCCAGGCCATGTCAACTGCCCTTTCTGCCTGTGTCCTTACCAGTAAAACGTGTCATGGGGTGATATGACGTTCAGTAAGTGCTCAGTTCCGAACCATTGCATCTGACACCTTGTCTCACCTCTCATTATTTCATTAAGGCTGAGTTTTGGGGAATCCAACAGCAAAATCCCTCGGGTTTGACTCCTGAGTCTTTTAAGTACTCATGAGTAGGAATATTTGCACATTAGTGATATAAGAGAGAATTTGCAATGTTGACCCAACGGACCTGTAGAAAAAAAGCTTTGCAGATGATGAGTCCAGTCCTCCCCTCTGCCTATTTTGCAGATGGGGAAAACTGAGGCCTAGAAAAATTATGAAAAGGCATTAAAAAGTGGTAATAGTGTACTTGAAGCCAAGTATGTAGACTCTGGGCTTTTTTTTTTTTTTTTTTTTTTTTTTTTGGTGGAACCGGAGATTGAACTCAGGCCCTTGCGCTTGCCAGGGAAGCACTTATTCCACTGAGCCATCTCCCTGGCCAGTTTGTGGACTCTGATGCATATGCCCAGCCTTGCCACGCATGAGCTGTGTGGCCTTGAGTGTATTATTTACCCATACCTCAGTTTCCCTATCTGTAAAATGGGTTACTATGGTACCTGCCTTATGAGGCAGTTGTGAAGACAGTGCCAGGCACAAGGCTACGTGTTAGCTGTTCTTAAACATGAATATACCTGCTAAGTGAGGGCATAGAAAATTTAAAAATTTATTTAGAGCAGAAAAACAAAGGTTATTCTCAATTTAAAATTTTATTTTAATGGAATTATTCCAACCAAGTTCTGGGCACAGTGATAATGTTTGGAGTCTCCATCTGCACCACACCCCCACATCACCTTTGGTTACCACAGGTCCCAAATATACTTCTAGCCTGATTTGGGGCCTTGTGCCCAGCTGAGATGAGGGAGGCGTGGGGGAGGGGAGGGGTGGCTCAGTGGCCTTGCAGTGTGTCTGGGAGGCCACGATCAGAACGGACTGGAGGAAGGTCTCTCGTCTCTGCGCTCGCTCACTGGGGCTGGGCTTTCATTCACGCATCCACTGTCCTTTCCGCCTGTCAGACATCACCCTGCTGCCCGTTGGACACCTACGACCACACAGCAGTCTGCAGGTGTAGATGTTGCCTACGGACCCACCCCCACACACACACACGCACACACGCATGCTACCCAGAGGGGAGGCTGGTGTGAGCCACAGGATGCAAGGGGCTTTGCCGAGGAGGATGGAGAGAAAGGTGTGAGAACATGACGGTGGTGGCGGGGAGGAAGGTGGGGCAGGCAGGGGTTGAAGAAGAGCAGAATAGGGGGAAGGATGCAGTGTCCGGAACCCTTCCTTTGGGAGACCTGAGTTTTCTGCCTCCTGCTTCCTGGCAAAACGTCCTCTCCTTCCTGGTGGAAGGAGGCAGGGACTACAGGAGGGGATCCTTGAGTTGCCCACCTGTGCACTAGGTAGACCTCGGAGCAGGGCCAGGAAGGCAGGCCTGGCTGTCACCGGCTCCCCAATCCTCTGCCTTCTGAGGACCCTGGAGACTGAGGCATTACCCTAGCTCCAGGTAGGAGCTGCCAGAGGGTGGGCTTGCTAGGTTCGCCCCTTGGGCTTCAGCTGGCTGCTCTCACATCCACCCCCACCCCTGGGTCCTAAGTCCTGGACCAGCTCACATCCCAGGCTCTCTGGGGGCTCAGTGGTTCCGCTTTTGGAGAGATGCCCAAGCCCTATTCCTGATATTCAAGGGCCCTGCCGAACCCTTCACTTCACTGCAAGGACACCAGGGCCACTCCACTCTGCATTGCCGTCCCTTCTTGTACTGTACTGTTCCCAAGACACCAACAAGGCCACATGGATTAGCAGCCAGGGACAGAGGTACCCTCTCCAGCATCCCTCTTCACACAGGGTCATTCAGCAGCATCTCTGCTGTCAAACCGTGCATGTCCAACCCAGCTGCTGGCCCTGTCTTTCGTCCTTTTCTGATCCTTCAGCTGAATGGATCTTTCCTTGGGATCCCCAACTCTTTAGGCTCTTTTAGGGCTGTACTGGACCCAGCCTGCTGTCTCATCACAGCTCCTTATGTCCCCCCACATACTGCACCCCGCCCCATACTGGCTCCCAGATGAGATGCATAACACTCACATGCTGCCTCCTGTGCCCGCAGCAGGTTCGTGGGCCTGAGTGTGTCGGGGCAAAGGGAAGCCAGGGCCAAGGCTCCCTACGTTCCTGTCCTCAGGCAGGCTGCAACACCTTCAGTCACTGACAGACGGACAGCTTCCTCTGCTTCCTGGAAGGGCTGTCTGACTGAAACAGTCCTTACAGGGGCCACCTCCTCCCTGCCACCCCCAACACTTCAGTCTGGCGGAAACTGGGCCTAGAGGAGCGAGGAGGCGGAGAAAAGGCAGAGAAAGGGCAACCTTCCCAGAACCCTGCCCCCACCTCAGCAAAGAAAAGGCAGGAATGAAGGGAGAGAGAGGATCCGGAGGAGCAGAGGTCAAAGGCCAGTCCCACAGACCCAGCAGTTTTCTTTCCCCTCAGCCTTTTCAGTTTCTCTTCAGTCACATGGATGTAGCACCCAGTGGCCTCTGCTCATTTTTCCAGTCTCTCCCTCCTTCCCTCCCTTCTATGGTCCATCCACCAGTACATTTCCCTGTTGCTCTATGTGACAATCCACTAGGCACTAGGTTAGCTCCTTCTCCTTTCCTTCTTTTGTTTCTTTTCTTCATATTTATTGAGCACCTACCATGTGGCATCAACCCCTCCCATGTTTCCCAGTTAGCAGCCCTTTCCCCAGGGCAGGCCCAGAGCTCACAAGAACTGTGTGTGGAGTGTACCCAAGACTTCACCCAAGTGACCTTTCTTCCCTGCTGTGCCAAGTCCTCCCTGGCCTTTCCGTACCTCCCATTCAGCCTTTGGAGCTATTAGGACAACCAGAGGGGGAGAGGTGCCTTCTCACTGTACCTGGGAGGCTGGCTCCAGGGTGCAGGTGATACTGAAGGAGGTGAGGGTAGGGTGGTGCAGAGAAAGAACATGGCCCAGGAGATGGGGCCAGGTCCCAGCTTGGTAGGACATGGTCATCCTAAGGGGGTGAGTGGCCACAGGGAGTGAGGCCTCCTTTTACCCTGTAGGATGCTGGGGACACTTCTGGAACCCAGGAGCAATCAGGGCGTTGATCTGACTCCAAATCCATCTTAGAGGAAGGAGTTTGAGAAACTGAATGGGAGCCTTAAGCTTGGAGCAAACTGAGAAAGTCCAGTTTGAGCTGTTGGTAAATCCCTGGCCAGTTAGTTGTGTAGAAATTGAGCACTTCTGCTTCCTCAGGTCGATGCCAGGAGTTTGCCTGTGCCAGCTAAGGTGGGCAAGGGGGCCTGCTGCGTGGCAGCCAGGCCCTTGCTGGCCCTCAGGACGGGTCCCCACCAGAGTGGGTGACTGTTTATCTCAGGAATGGGAGCAGCTCTGAAGGCTTCTAGAGGTGCCAGCCCCAGGGTGCATTTGGGTCAGACTTATGAGCCGTTTTAGTCGCTGCCACAGGAGTCTCCCCTGCACCGAGGGCTTGTGGCCACGAGGTGGAGCCAGCGGACAGCCCGCCAGACGCGGCGCGCGCGTCCCAGGAGTGGCATCCAGCCTCATCTCTGTCGGCTTAGCCTTTTTGCTAGGTACCCATCCCAGACAAGCTTCAGCCCTGTACTCGCAGGAGCCAAGGGGCCAGAGCTGCGGGGCCACGGGCAGGACCGAACCCTGTGTCTCTGAGGCAGAGGCTCCAGAGCATCGCCACCGCCACTCCGGTTCACTGGGGAAACCAGAGAATAAGCAATGAGTTTAGACACAGGAAAAACTGGCAAAATTGAAGCTCTGTGGACTACTTAGATGCTATGGTCTCAGGGTACCCTTTAGGTGACTGCTCAGCCTGCCTGCTTCAAGGCTTCCATGGCTGAGAGGATGAGGGAGACTGTCAGCCAGAGGCAGGCGGTGGAAGCCTGAGTCACTACCTGTCAGTTGGTCTAGACATGGCCAGACCTGGGAAGCAGCTTCCCGGCCTCAGGCCTGCCTGTCTGCCGGGAAACCAGGCCCGGAAATCCCCTTGCTGGGCCCCTGGCCCATGAGCTGAGCAGTAAGGGCTCAGGATGACAGGGTAAGACCCAGCTTCCTCCACCGAGGAGTCAGGCAGGCTGGGATGTGCCACCAGCTTGCTGTGTAACGGGGACCGCCACCAACGCTGAGTCAGATAAGCAAGGTGAGCTATGGTACCCAGCATCCTCCCAGCCCTGGCTCTGCATGCCCTCTGGCTGGAGCCCACCCCAGGCCAGCCTGAGGCCAGGTTTCTGATGCCAGTGCCTCCCTGGCACCCAGAGGACAGCGGACAGGAGCAGAGTCCCCCACCTGGAGGAGTTGTGGTCCCACCTGTGGTATCAGGCTGGCCACAGAAGCAGGCATCCAAGCAGGAGGGGCCCAGGAGGGCAGAGAATCTGCTTTCTCTTCTCATTTCCCACTTCCTGTTCTTCTCCTGCTCAACAGGAATCAAAGTGGAACTGAAATCTCCATTTGGAGGGCAAAGAAAGGGAAGCAGCGGCTTTGAGTGGCTTAGGGGTTGGGGTCCTTTTGGTTTCTCTTTGGGCTGAGCAGGAGAAAATTTGCATCTCTGGAGCTCCTGGTACTAGGGAACAGTGGACAGCAGTGGGTGTATTTCCTGATCTCTCCCTCCCTTCCTCTGTCCCTCCCTTTCTCTCTTTCTCCTTCTCTCTCCTCTCTCTTCTCTCTTCTCTCCTCTCTTCTCTCTTCTCTCTTCTCTCTTCTCTCTTCTCTCTTCTCTCTTCTCTCTTCTCTCTCTCTCTCTCTCTCTCTCTCTCTCTCTCTCTCTCTCTCTCTCTCGTCAGAAACTGAGGCAAGGCAGAGTTAACTAGAGGTTCTGTCTGGGGAAAGTGACTGAAGAGGTTGGGGACCACGGTACGAGGCTGAGGTGTCATGGGAGAGAGCAGAGACCAGGGCAGAACTGTGGGAAAGCTGAAGGAGAACCCCTGAGACTCCACTTTCCAGTCTCCCCGGGCCGGGCCGCAGCACCTCTGCCCAGCAGAGCTAGTGTGGAAGGCCTGTTCCCTGCCTAGACCCCAGACTTTCCTGGTGCCTTGCCTCCCAGGGGAGGAGGCCACTTGGATCTGCTTCTGAGAAGGAGCCTGCTGCCTGGCTGGTGCCTCTGGGAGCCGCCCATCCTCCCAGCGCAGGCTCCAGCCCTTGGCGGGAAGCAATGGCCAGGCTCCAGGGTGGTGCCTCGCTGCAGGCATTGTTCTGCTTCTCTGCAGCTTCTTCCCACACTTCCCAGACCCCCTTTCCTGATGGCCCCGCCTCCTATCCTTCCTTTGGGGATCCCCCCTTTCCCCTTAGAGTCCTGAGGCTGAGGAGAGAGAAGTGGGATCCTCAGGCACTGTGGCTGCTTTGGGGGTGGGGTGAGCCACCTTCGCCAGGTGCTTGGAAGTGAGTTCTGAAGCTTTTGCTGGACAAGATAGGTTTTCCACTGGATTTGCAAAGCTGGTAAGATAAGGCTAAGGCTGCTGCAGCCAGGTAGGTCCTAGGTGCTTGAGAAACCAAAGGAAGACACCACCCAACATTAAAATCGGGGCTGCAGAGTTAACATTAAAATGGGGACCCAGTTTCCTGACTACTGTGGAGCACCTGGTTCCTTCTATACCTGGTGCTTGACCTTCCACTGGACTTTTTGAGTGATGAATTTCCTTTTTGTGTCTTTAAATCAAGTCTGTAGATCTGTACCCCATGCCTCCCTCTCCTTTCCACAACCCTGGGAGCACAGCTTTGGTCCCAAAACCTGGATGTCTCTGAATGGGAAGCTGGAGCTGGCCACTTATCTGATGGCTGCCAGCAGAGGGCAAATGAGGGCAGAGGGGCTGTCAGGCAGAACTCAGTTCCCATGGGGCAGCTGGGAAAGCCCCCTAACCATTTCATTCCCCGTGAGGTTCCCAGAATAACCATTGTGTCATCTCTATAGCTCCTGGACAAGACAAATAGGAGGCTGGAAGCCTGGTACTGGGTTGCAGTCTTGGATTCATCATTCACTTGCTGGGCAACCGGGGCGGGGGGGGGGTCACTTCAGCTTTCTAAGCCTTATTTTTCCAAGCTACTGGTTGCTCAGAAGGTACCAGGCACCCAAACTAAGTGCTTCTGCTCCAGGGTTTCATTTGCTCTTAAACAGCCTGAGTGATGGAGGGGGTGTGTTGTTCCCCGTACGCAGGAGGAAACAGGCTGGAGAAGGCTGGAGACACTCAGTGAGTCAGTAGTGAGCCAGGCTGAAGGGCTAAAGAATGACAGTCTGTGCTTGGGAAAGAAGGTGACATTTCCCTGCAGGAAAGCTGAAGCCAGAGAGATTAGGAACTTGCCAAAGCACAGCAAATCCATCATGCCACCCTGCTCCTCGAGAACAGTGGCTTGGGACAGGATAGGAAATGGATCATCGTCAGACAGCCTTCCTCCCGTCTCCAACTGTTAGGAACTTTGCCTTTAGGGCCTCAGAGACCAGACAGATTCCAGTTCCCAACCGAGGAGCAATGGGAAAAGTGGGCTGAACGAACCCAGGCCCTAAAGGTGAGGCCTGGGGCTCTGTCCTTGGTGCTGCCTGCGTCAGAAATTTTGTTTTTAAGAAAGCTTTGTCTTGACTGATGATGGAGAAGATTTATGAAGGGAAAGAAGGAAATGGCTGCAGGTGAAGCACCTCAGAGCCCACCTGGGGGCCTCAGCCCTGACATCAGGAAGGGCTGACCACCGAGGCTGCCTGAGTCTTTCTTGTGGGTTCTGATCCTGCCCATTTCACAGACTGTGAGGCCCAAAGGCACTAGTGCTGTCCACAACCCTCAAGGTAATGTTGGGTGTGGAAAGAGCTTCAGAGAGCCCCTCTCCTCCCATGCAATGTAGTTCCCTGTCCTGACTACTACTCTGACCAGCCCTATGAGCTCCTGAGGCCTGAGGCCACCTGGCAGAGACACGGCATTCCCACTGGACCCCAGAGCCAGGTGTCTGAGCTCTAGGCCCTTCAGCCAGAGAGGTCTTGAGATCATCTGATTCAACATTTTTCCCTTCCCTCCTGCAAAAGGGGGAGGCCCCAGAAACCTTCCTGACAGGGTCTGCCTGGCCCACTGCTTGCATACTTCCTAGGACAGGGAGCTCACTCCCCTCACAGGCTGCTACATTTTGTCTTGAGAT